TCTATTGGCCATACCTAGGTGGCTAGTATTCTATATTACCTAGTCTACTTTGGAACCTTCAGTTCCGAGATCGCAATTTTGCGCAAGCAAGAACACACAGTCATCCAGAACAATGTCCTTATTTAATTGTTGAGTTTTTTACTCCACAAATTTTATTAATCGCAAAAGAATTTCCAAGAGGTCCTATGGCAAATTCGATATTAAAACTAAGGCTTGGGTGAAAAATACGAATTATCTTTATTCCGACACAGAAGCAACGTAGCCTGTTCCAGCATAGGTAGCCCAGCTTGGGCTACCTATGGTTCCAGGCTAAAGATGAAAACAAGAGAGAGAGGAGAAGGAGAGAGTTCCAGTTCCAGTGCCCCCTTTTTTTTCACTTTTTTTTCTAGGCACGGCTTCCAGCCATCTGAACGCTTAGAGTAGTCTCTTATTTTTTTTTGCGCACACGAGGGGCGAGAAAGGCGCAATTCGCGATGAACAAGGGCGTCGCTGTTTGTAATCGCGCTTACTGGGATAAGAACTGGACGGTCTTTTAAGAGAAAAAGAGGATTGCAAGCAGTATTATAGAACACTTGGAACACGCCAGGAAAAATGAAGCCATAAAATGAACTAAAAGTTACTGGGCCATATAGTGACTCTCGACCGAATGAGCGCACGAGAAATTCTTAGAAGTCTTTAGTGACGAATTCGATTAAACAATTATGATGTTAATTAAGACGACTTCTGTATTGTGACTTAGAAGGCTCGGGTAAAAATGACTTCTCCTGATTCTGACACAGAAGCGGAATTTGTGCAGTTTGTTTGTTTTCGCACCGCTGGACCCGTTCCAGTAGACTTATTTCAACAGTCCTGGATACCATTTGCTGAAGAGTTCTTCGCTCGTGGTATAAAAACAATGATCTTGTCCGAGAAGCTACCATTAAGCGGTGATCTAAGCCCTTACAAATTCATTGCAAAAAGTTACTGGGCCTCGATAACAGCGGTCAAACTAACCTTTGAAAAGGGCTTACCATCTCCCTCTAGCAGAGGTCACATAACAGCTTCACAGGTAAATATGGTTTATATCATTTTAAGGGGGCTGCGTCACAAGGATATTGCTCTTTTAGGTCGATTCTGTGCTTAGGGCCTCTTCATATGAGCCCGGTTTCGGAGATCTCGCGCGCCTTACCTCTAAATCGTTTGTAAAAGTTTCGATGTGTTCATATGAGAGGGCGGGCTAGCTCTGTTATCGAGATCTCGGTAATCGGGCTTGAAATTTTGCCACACTTCAGTTAACTCTGATGAAAACGGGATGAATTCTTGCGAAATCTCCGCTATTTTCTCAAGGAACTTGTAAGTTTTATAAATTTATTTTATTTTCAGATGTGAAGTGATGGTAGGGGGAAAAAAGTAAAATTCTTGAACACTTAAGGTTAACGATAGGGATTTGTGTTAAACGTTTTTAGGATGACATTTTCCTTCATTTTTCAGGGTGGGATATTTAAGCTCGTGCACACGGCCAAAGGAGAAACAAACGCCAAGCACAATGTCATCTACAAAGTTGGTTTCAAAGCATTTACAATGATTCCGACGCTAGAAGAATCTCTTACAAAGGAGAAAGTCCTAGATTACGCTGACTATCTTCACGGTCTTAAGGGCTTTGAAACGTTAGCGGTCTATAAATTACATGAATGTTCTGGGCCGATTAAAGAATGGCATTATGACTGGATAATTGAGGCATTTTATAATTCCGTTAGCGTGACAGAAGAGTCAATACTAAAAGACTTGATAAACTGCCCCATGGTGGACAAAACGTGGGAGTTGAGCATACATAAGGACTACATACAAATGACGGCTTAAAATATTAATTGTTTTTCTTTAAAAAGTTTGACGTCTTTACGGCACAAGAATTAAACAACAGTTAATTTGATGAACCCCTTGGGAGATGATTTTATCGAAATAAACTTTACTGGTAACTGTTGCGTTCTATTGGGAAATCCGGATTTTGCAATCGAACGCGAAATCCGAAAACGGATTTCACCGCCTAGAAAACAGTCCTCAGGGTGAATTTCAATTAAGAAATCCAAATCCGGATTTCATGGATTTCCTTTTGACCATTCGATTAGGAAATCCGAAAAAGGATTTGCAAACAATTCCTGTGAACAGCGAACTTCTTTTTGCTAATTAAGCGTGCGCGTGCAAGACCGATGTTCGTAAGGACAGTTTTTCAAAAATTTTTCGAATTTCTTAATCGAACGGTAAAATCAAAACCAAATATCTCAGCGTTGCAATTCTATTGCCGAGTTCGCGTTCTATTACAAATGTGAAATCCGGATTTTGAAATCTAAATCCAGATTTCCCAACTAGCACCATCATGAACTTCTTGTTTGAAATGAGACAAATTACAAGCTAAGAAAGACAAATAATTTGCTTCTGGCCACTCCTAGTTTTACTAGTGCTGAATTGCACGCGGGTAATCAGAATTGAGCGTATTTCCTCTCGCCATTGACTATTTCGGCAAGCAATTCTGAACAGCCTTTAAGACGTGCCATAAACGCAGAAAGAGTGCCTGAATAATTCCTACTTCCCTTTCCCTTTAAACGTCTTCCATGTAGCTTAAGGTCACTAGGGACACCTTGGGCTCATTATTATGCAATTTTTTAAAGGGTATGCACGAAGTGCAACGACCAGTGATACCAACAGGTTTACATTTTCGAGATGTTTATAACTGGATAAAAGTATTTATTTCTTTATTTCATTTTACTTGTTTAGCTTCGCCTATTACTGAACAATAAATAATAAATGCTTATTAGGCAGGGGTGCCACAACAGCGTTGAGCCAATTACAGTGGTCCCAGCGTAAGTAAAGTGTTCACTCACTCACTCACATATTTTAATGACGGGGGGGTCCGAAGGATATTTTTTGGGGTCTGACATTTTGGCCAAAAGGGATTTTTTTTGGGTCTATGAAAGACGCCGGGATTTGTTTGGGTCGCGAAAACAACAGAGGGATTTTTTCGGGTATTGTAGTTTTCATCAGCTCAAATCAAAAATAACATAAGCGCAATTTATCGTTGTGTTTTTTACCAAAACCAAAGTTGAAGTTGGCATGTTTTAGCTTTCCAGAAGTTAAATAATAAAATTTGCTGATGCAAAAACACTGAGGGATTTTTTTGGGTATGCTAAAAAAAGTAGGGATCTTTTTGGGTAGACAAATTCTGAAGTTGGGATTTTTTGGGGTATAAAATATGAACCTCTGTCGGACCCCCCCCGTCATTAAAATATGTGAGTGGGGCCCCTGGGGTGGCAAGGAGACTGCGAACAAATCAAAAGTAACAAATGGAATCTGAATCAAACCTTAAGGCAGCGTGCAAACGGACGCAACAACTTCCAACATCGGTTGCGCCAACAATGTTGGGACCTGCAGTGCATCATGGGAAGGATACAACCCATAAGTCTTTGTAAACCATGCGTAATGAACGTGCATGACCCCAACAATGCTGGAAGAGCTGTGCAAACGGATCCAACATTGTTGCGCTACGCTTCGGCGATCACGGAACAAAAGAAGTGTTGGGAGTTGTTGGCTGAAAAGTTTGGCCAGGTTCAAACTTTGCGCAACAACATGCAACAGAGTGTGCAAACGGACGCAACATGTAACATCCAACGATGTTGGGAGTTGTTGGTCAACAATGTTGCGTCCGTTTGCACGCAGCCTAAGCTTGTTTCAGTGATGTTTAATAATATCTGTAACATGAAAATAGAAAAAAGGGAACCTTTAGAAATTTGAACCAAACTTTAGGGTTCTATAAGAGCCCGCAAAAACAAAAAAAACCCCTTTGAAAAACTTTCGTCACGTGCCGCCTGACCCGACTGACTGCCCCTGGGTCTTTGCAGGATGCCCTCATCCCTTCCCTGGCCCTATTCTTCAACCTCGTCCCCAGGGCTTTTCCACCCATTTTTTATGGGAAAAGCCCTGGGGACGAGGTTGCCTAATCCCTACCCTCATGTCCCTCACCGTTAGCCCTACTTTAACCCCAACCCCAAACTCTAACCCTAAACCTAAAACAGCATTCTTTTTTAAAAAAATATAGACCCCGGCCCCGACCCCGCGTTTTACTAACAGCCGGCTCTCAGAGTGTCAGATTAGTCAGGTCGAGTAAGGGGAGCGGCGGAAAATCGGCTTAAATTCTAAAACGCGGTATACCAAAAAAAAAAAGATAGATAACTGAAGAGACAACATTTCGTGACGCCACCACTTATTTCCCCGTCATTTTCATGGTAGATGGCTACAATAGAAGAAAAGGTTTGCTGGTAATAAAGCAGGCAATAGTGTGACGGGTAACGGGTATTGACCACTCCAGAAAATACCATAACATACTATAATGCTCTTTGTTTGTCACGCCAAAATTTTGCATAAGCATTGTTTTCAGTTTCTCTTGGGGCCATTTTAACTGAAAACAATGCTTATGCAAATTTTTGTAGTAACAAACAAAGACCATTATGGTATGTTATGGTATTTTTTGGAGTGGTCAATTTCTCGTTACGCCGTTACACGTTTGATTACACCACCGTCATTTCACGTTTCAGCGTCTCATTTTGGGTTGATTTCCACTGTCGCGAAATTTTTACGAGTCGTACGTGCGTAAAATTTACCTTCGCAGATGAAATAGAGGCAATGTATGAAAGGTCGCACGTAAGCGTAGATCTAGAAGTTAAACCTTGTTCTACCTCATGTTTAATCTCAACACTTTATATCTTGCCTCTATTTTATTTATATGATTAAAATTTACGTGCGTTAACGTGCGTAGCCAAAAAACGCGTCAGTGGAAATCAACCTTTAGAGAAGAGGGTTTAACGGGGACCCCTGAGTGGTAGGGTTAGGTTTGACACTAACCCGTAACCGTAACCCTAACTCTTAACCCTAACCCTAACCCTAACCCAAAACCTAACCCTAACCCTAAACCTAGCCCTAACCCTAAAACAGCATTCTTAAAAAGGTAGACCCTGACCCCAACCCCGCGTTTTTACCCTCAGCCTTACCCTTACCGTCACTCTAACCCTAACCCTCATTACATCAAACAAAAACAACAATAGCCTTTTATAAATTTGCAAAATCGATCTTGTACCGTCACGGTGTGTTTGCAGTTATGGACGAGGCAAAAGAAGTGACGGATATCTTTGCCCTATCCTCAGCAGCCCATTATTTGAAGTGCTTTAATTTGTTCCAAAAGAAATCTGGACAGCTTGAAAAGAATGCTGAGATATTGCAAGAACACATCCCGCCGATAATTCAAAGAATTATTCCCGATAGCGTTGGGCAAACATTGAACATTCTAAGTGCTGGAAGTGGGGACGGGAAGATCGACATGATGATACTCAAAATAATCGAGGAGGAGCTACGAAAGAGCAACCACGACCGCCATATGAAGATCTTCAACCGAGCTATTGAACCTAACGAATATATGTGCGGCCTCTACAAAGCAGTCATCGAAAATCTAACCAGTTCACCAGACGATCGCAACACAAAATTTGAGATCCGTCGGCAAACCTTTGAGGAGTATCAGGGAAGCCACAAAGGAGCAACTAAAAAGTTCGACATCATACATTTCGTTCACAGCATCTACTATGTTGACATTGAACAAACTTTACTGTACTGTTTTGAAAAAGAGCTTAGTGATAAAGGCTTTGTTATTTGCATTGTAGACTTCGAAGGAATCATATCACCAATCTTTTTGAAGCAGATCAAATTATGGCCCGTTGAAGACGCGGTTAGAAAGGGACACGAAACCGCTGAAAAACTAATCACGATCGCTAATGAAAACGGCTGGAAACATGAAGTGTATACCCATGAATATGAACTCGATGTCACAGATGTGTTTGATCCGCGCTCAACCGAAGGAAACCTTTTGCTGGATTTCCTGACGCAAACAGTAAATTATCGTGAGGTAGCTGACAAAAAACTAGTGGAAGAAACGTTGGCTTTGATAAAAGACTTGTCTATTGAAAGAGATGGAAAGAACTTTGGCGAAAAGAAAGAATCGCTGGTTATAATGTACAAGTAACTTCACTTGACAAGCGAGAAAAGGTATAAATAAATCGAATTATCAAACGGTTGCCTACACACACCTTACAAACCACAGTCTCTCGGGCCATGTTACATTATTTGGTTTATCAACGAAGAAAACAGGAACAGAGACAGGAAAGAAGATAAATATTTTTTGCGAGCAGGAGAAGAGGTCAATAAAGGTCATACTCAGGGTAATGTCGGTGATCCCTACCAAAATAATAAAATAATAGCGAGTTCAAAATACCATGACGGCGACGAAGGCGAAAGAGTCACTTAAAAAGTGACTTTGCTTTCTTCAAAACTTCGAGGCGATTATCTATTCGCGTTCTTTGTTAAATGTAGGCGAACTCTTAAGAATATCCAAGTTCAAAAGAGAAATTAGTGGTTTGTTTGTGAAATTTGGCAATTTCACGTCGTAGTCGTGTAGTGACGGCAAGGAAATTAAACAAAAAGTGTACCGCACTTGCAGAGCTGTTGATTTGCGATTCTAAACCCGTATACAGTTGCGTGCTTTTTTGATGTTCTCTTTGTCGTCGCTTTCGTGACATCTTAACCCCCTTATGTTTTTTTTTTCTAATCGACCTGAGATTAAGTGGCTCCTCTTTAACGTATCATAATTATGCGGACGACTTCACCATATTAAATTGATCATAATTGCACCTATGTGGAGGGATTAAGACTGTTCTAGCGAGTTGGTAAGACAGTTAGAATGGTGAAAGAACAGCTGACGTTATCAGCTTAGAAGAGTTAAAACAAATATTACATTATGAAATCATTTATTGCAATAAATATATTTATTACACGTGGAGTAAAATTGATATGGAATTCACATACCACAATAACTTTCTGCGCACATTCAAATTATTTGGTAAAATAAACCCAGAACAATATACATTACGTTAGAATTTATTGTAACAAATAAATTTATTAAAAGTGAGATACGAAATTAAAACATGCATTGTTGACCAAGCGTGATGGCTGGATATTGGCCTCCCTTTTTTTAGCGTTTTGATTGACCTTGACTTCGTCTAGGTCCTACCCTGGACCAGAGGCTTTTCATGCGCGGTTTCCGGTTTCGGTCACGTCTTAAAAAGTGACCTGTGCGAAAAGCATGCGTGTTGACAAGCATGATGGCTGGATATTGGCTAAGTTATTTTTTGCGTTTTCATAGACCGAGATACCCTGGGTCCCACGTTGTTTTCTCTCGCGGCTTTGCCGCTCGTGTCCTCGGGCCACGTCCGACGAAGCTCGTCGTCGCACGCAAGAATAAACCTCTGGTACCCAGGGTGTCTCGGTCCATGAAAACGCAAAAAAACCTTGGCAAATACCCAGCCATCACGCTTATCAACAACGCATGCTTTTCGCGCGGGTTACTTTTCAAGACTTGACCGAAACCGGAAACCGCGCATGAAAAGCCTCTGGCGCACAGGGTAGGAGCGGGACGAAGTCAAGGTCAATCAAAACGCAAAAAAAGCGAGGCAAATATCCCGCCATCTTGATCGAACAAGCATGGTTAATAAAGGATATATAATAAGGTCAAAAGGAGAACTTTTTCTTGCGGCACCAATGCGGAAGGCAGCCAATCAGAAGACAGGATTCGCTTCATCTTGTTTTCATACGTTAAGAATCAAAGGAAAACTCTAGCGTGATGAAGGTTTGTACATTGGATACTCCGTCAGACCAGTGGAGCACTCAGCCTTTGATATGGAGATGATTTTCCATTCTCATGCAAATAAAACTCATTTTCACAAGGAAGGTTGTGCACTTGGCCTCATTTTGAAAGTGAGGGTTTTTGGAACTTGGAAGTGGCCTACTGCTCATAACATGCTCAACCGCGGAACAGTGACAATTCCAAGGGAGTACTTGCATGCAAAGTTAATAAAATTACGAAAAAAGGTCCACAAATATGTCAGTTATTTGGGACTGTTTAAAGGTAACAAGGCAGTGTCCCCTATCAGTTGTCTTTCTTTCGGCTGTACTAAGTCAACTGTGAGAAGTAATAGGGAGTTTAAACAAAGGCATTTTTCAGCGACGCACGACAACCTTTGCCTTATAATATGCCTTGACTCTACCAAATTTGTAGTGCCAACTTCCTTTATTCTAAAGAGGCGATTCGCCGGAAAATTTGGGCGAAACCACTGCCCAAGAAGGCACAAAGTCCAGTTCCGGTTGAAGTGCATCGCTCAAACAACTCTCTGCTTTAGCTCACTAATAACGTGTTTTCAACACACGTTTTAGCTCTAACAATATTCATATAGGCTTCCAGAGTTTCTAACAGCAGCTAGGTTACAATGTATAGACTACTCAAAATAATAGAGTGGTTTTCGTTTGAGTGTCGTAAAACCAAAACCAAAGTAATTACTCTGGCCAATCACATAGGACACAGACAATACATTGAACCAATCAAAACTCGAAGTAATTTCATGTGGCTGACGCAAAGCGTCACAATTGGCTTTGGTTTTACTTCTGATTGGATGAAAAGGTGGCGCGAATCTTTTAAGCCAATCGCATCGTGTAGAAAGTGCAAAACCAATTACTTTTCGACACTCAAATGAAAACCGCTCTAATAGCAATTATTGTCCTTAAGTAAAAATAAATAGATTACGCTTTGTGTTTTTTGGTCACTTTCTTCTTCAGCTCCTCCTTGTATGATAAAATATCTCCCTTCCATGGAGTGATAGTCTTTTTCTCGCAGATCCAAATTTCTTTTGCAACCTAGGGAAAATGAACGCAGCAAAAATCTTACATGTGGGAAAGCTGATGGAGTGTACAGCATTTTTGTTGGTAATATTAGGGACCTTAACATGAAAGGACAGCGACGGCAGCGAAAAAGTCGCGCTCTTTCAATCTTCTTTGCGATTATTGTAACTCACTCTTCCTTCGTCAAATGCACGCGAACCCTCCTGAGAACAATTCCCAAGTTCAGAAAGAGAAATAAAATTTCGTCGTCTATCGTTTACTTCCTCCATAAAACGTGAAAATAGGCATTTTCAAGTCGTAGTCGTGCAGCGACAACAAAGAAATGTACAAAAAAGCGTGCTGTACGTGAAAAGTTGTTGTTTTCACTTCCTTGTTGTCGTCGCCGTCAACGGATGTTAAGGTCCCTATTTTTAACTGCTATGCATACTTATTACTACAACAGACACATTAGGGCCGTTTATGCGAGAAAATAGGCGGCGGCTTACATAAGCCGCGAACTGCTCGTATAAATGGTACGAAATCTACGTGAGGGAATTTGCCTTTTGTCTTCTCAGAAATTACGCATACATATGCACGCGGATGCATAGGACGACATCTGAGAGAAACAGTTGTCTGGGGTACTATCTCGTAGACTGAAACGGGGAAACAAAACTTACAAGCTAAAAAGGTGATCTATTCACCAAGTTTTGAGACGATTATGCGATCAAAACGTATTGTAGACATAACAGCGCATTGAACCAGTGAACAGTTTATAACCATTTTCACCTGATTGATCAGCCTGAAATCGTGACTAACAAGCACCAGTCCTCCTTCAAAGTCATTGATGGCATCAGCCAGTGCGTCAATCGTCTCCATATCCAAATGATTTGTAGGTTCATCAAGTAACAAGAGATGAGGTGCCTGGAAGGCTAACCATGCAAACACCACACGACAGCGCTGACCATCGGATAAGTTCTGCATTGGACAGATCTGTTTTCAATTAAAATAAAGCACAAGTTAGAATTTACAAGGTAGCAGGTTCAGACGCCAACGATAATACGCCTGTATTGGTGACATTACCTTTCAAGTCATCAGAAGTCAAAGTGACCTTGAAAATTAAGTGCATGTATTTTGGGCTCTCTGTGCTTACATTTTTACTTGGGTTCCATGTGTGCAGCTTATGTTTGCATTTAAATGCCACTTAACAGTAATGACAGGTTTAGCATCTCTGTTCAAAGAGCAGATGACTACAAAGAACAATCCCTCTCTTCCTCCCCTCCCCTTCCCCCTAAGCACACAGAAGCTGTACTAGTGTGACTGTAAGTTATAATACAGGGAAAGAAAATTCAGTCCCATGGAAAAAACTGAACAGGCAGACACAAAAAAATGGGAGAGCGCTTGATTGTTTGCATGCTTGTCTAAATCCTCAGGGACAGCTTGTAGTAAACTGTAGCTGTAAGCTCTCATTCAAGGTGGCTCCATTTTTATTACAGATGCAATGAACTATGACAAGCTTTGTGTCATAACTTTCTTGGTTTTAATGTGATGGCTATTAAAATTTAAGTACTACAGCTATTATTTGGCAATGCCTCAATTTATCACATCTAGTGTAAAATTTTGCTGACATTTTTTACTGAAATTTCTGGTATCAGCTTCTATTGACAAAGTAAGTATTCCAAATAAATCACGGTCAGGGAAAAAAATCAGGTAATTTCATATTATTGCTGAATGATGGGTGTAGTTCTTCTCAAAGTTTCATAGCCACTACATTAAAACCGAGAAAAGGATATGACAAAAAGTTCATCATAGTGCAATGTGCCTGTAATAACAATGCAGCCACCCTAAACCAAACAGAGATGTGGTGTTTATCAATCTACAATTAGAATTGGAAAGAGAGGACAGTTTGATGTCACCAACAGGAATTGAACCCAACCAACGAGGAACTTGTCAAAAACTGATCCATGAGATACTCGCTTCATATTTGTGTCCAGTTTACTAACAGGATCAGCAACAAAGAAAGCTTCATCGAAGAGACAGATTAACAAAATTTTTAGAGCTTGGCCATAAAACAACAGACACCTAGACCTATAAAGAGAATGAATAATAAAAAACCCCTGTAGTTGCAGAAGGGGATCAAATTCATGGCCTTACATTCTGTTTTCCTCTTTTTCCCATGGATGATGGTGGCATTCTCATTACATCTTTGTTATTTTTTCCAGAACCAAGTACCATCTTCTTTCCTCCTTGTTCATGATGAACTTACGCAGCAGGACAGGAGAGGAAAGAAGACAGCAAACCTCGTATGACAAGCATGACAATAATTTTCTTTGAAATAACTTTACGCCAAACTTCACTTTCCTTTAAACAGATGTTTTTGTTAAGACCACAAAACATTAATGTTAAGTGAGGATAACATGCAAGAAGTAGCCCTGTCATGTTCGTCTAACACAAGCGCTTTGCCATCCTCTTCTTTCTAACGTCCTCTTGCGTAAACTCACTAATATTACCCTGTACACACCTGTTGTTTACCAGTCAGTCCATATCTATCTATATTACATTGTACACACCTGTTGTTTACCAGTCAGTCCATATCTTCCTATTGATTTCCTCATGTCCTCTACTTCCTTAATGTGAGGAAAACATTTCATCATGAATTCTAGTGCTGACTTGTCCAGCTCCAACATGTCTTGGAGATGCTGCCAGAAATTCCAGAAAAAAATTGTCAGATTATTGAAGCATGATATTTAGTTGCTTGGTAATAAATTGCTCTTCTTTAAGGCATTTGATTGGCTTAAAAAATCTGCCACCTAACTATGGTAACTCATCAGACGTAGAGCATTTATTGGTAGTCTTTACACCAGGCCGTTATGTAAGACTTAAGAGCTGCTAAGTTTTACTTAACCGAAGATGTGTGTAAAGGCCAAAGTAAAATCTCAAGTTCTTTTGCTCTGCATTTCATTAAGGTCGGAAAGTTGAAACGATTCAAGAAAAGTTTCAAGTGACTTGAAAACCATCCTTAAAACTGACTTTGCGACCTTGCGGTTTCTTGAGCTTTGAGAAGGGCAAAGCATGTCAATCAATCTTAATTATGTTGCGTGGGAAAATAGCCGTAAGTTAACCTAAAGTAAAAAAGATAGGTTGTGTGTGAAGCTTCCTTTTATTTGAAGAATTTAAAATTTACTTGTCTTGAAATATTTCCTAGCTTAATTAGGCTCTAGTGTGAAGACTACCATTATTTTGCCTTAGTCACATGTTGCCCCATCATTGACAATATGGTGCATTAATTTCTGCAGCAATACTAAGCAAGGGAAACAGCAAGAAATGTGCCTATTTTTTCTCCCAGCTACATAACAGCAGCAACTTTAAGACTTGCGCTTACAGTGACTGTACATGCATACATTTTAATAAACATGTCTCGGCAGTGCCAAAACCAATGGCTTTCCACTGATCAAGGGCTACACCCAAATAGTTTAGACATTGAATGACAACTTAGCACTTTAAATAACCTTTTATTTTTTCCTGTGTTTTTCTATGCCTTGCAATAGCTTCAACTATTTAATACTCTGTGATGTGATTCAAGGCTATGCTCTAAGTAAAACTGTTCAAAGAGAGCTCTGAAACTGTCAAATCTTGGGTGCTTAGCATATGATTTGTATGAAAAAGCTAAGATTTTCTAGTTGCCTGAGAGCAAAATGTTGGGTGTTAGGGGCCATGCTCCACTAGAGCACAGCCCTGTGATTGAGTTATAGCTGTATAAAGCTCATATTTGCGGTTGATCAAACCTGGTGGTAACGGCATATTTTGAGGTGATTATGCCTTCGTATAAGCCCATCAGAAGGTGTCAGTGTTCCATCAAGCAGTTTCAGTAGTGTGGACTTGCCAGCTCCATTGGGACCCACCAAAGCCACTCTGGACTCCAAATCAATTCCAAAGTCCAGATTATCATATATTGCAGGCTAAATAGAGAATAAAATGCTACGGATCAGTCTGGGAATGAACAGTTCTAAAGAGATGACTTTGAGCTAAACCAATAAAAACAGATTTTATCAAGTTTTACAAGGTTAAGCATATTTAAGTTCATGTATATTTTCAGTTTTATTAGACAGGGCACTGCACTTCAGCAATTTAAAAGCACTTAAATCTGTACAGAATAACATTTTAAAATACACCAATTAAGGCACTGTACATTTAGCAACATTGTGATTCCTAATGTTACAGTAAAATAACTTCAGCATAATACCCTTACAGACAAAGCAGGGCATTTGCTTCAAGTGTTCTTTCCACAAATAATAATAATTATTACTTATATTGAAATGATAAACAAATTACATGAATTTCATAAATTTGAACTGTGGGATGAAGAAATAAATGCAGAGAAGGTGATCACAAGACCACAATGCGCTAAAAATGTGACATACACAGTGTCTGCTCAAAGCAACTAAAAGAACTAACCTTATCTTTTCCATATTTAAAGCTCATTGCCTGAACCTGGACAACAGGTGGTGCAAGTTTTCCACAGTCAGGGAAATAGAATGTTAGAACCTGGATTAATAATAATAAAAAATTATTACAAAAGAAGACTACTAATTAGTTTCTGAACTGAATCATAAAACCTCTGACGGGCCATTAACCCTTAAAATCCCAAGGATGACCAAGATCAATTTTCTTCCAACAATTTATATGTTATAGGTCAAAATTAAGTTCAACTTAACATTTTTTAAGCGAGGTTGTTTCTCTATTTCCTTTGTCTCCTTGTTTGCCCTAATTGTTCAGGAGTTGGGGCTAACAACAAAGGAAATTGAGAATCAACCCAAGATAAAAATTCTAAATTGAATATAATTTTGACCTGTACCATCCAGATATTTTGTTACCTCTGCATCCTGCATCCCTGATGCATATAAATAACCCAAGATGCAAAATAATTCATGGCATGCGTCCCATAGGATGCAAAGAACGATCAATCGATTTGAAGATTTGAAGTTCTAATCAAAATTTCTATAGGAAACACCTGGAGGCAACCGATGAGAATTGAAATCTTGATATTAGTAATGGTATAACAGGACTGAGTGGAGTCCAATTCGGTCTGTAATCAAACGAGTGATTAACAAAATCGGACGACCGCGTAGCGGGAGTCCGATTTGTTTAATCACGAGTATGATTACAGACTGAATTGGACGACACGAAGTTCTGTTACCAATTAATCATAACTTTAACAAAATTTGTGTAAAATCGGACGACCGCGTAGCGGGAGTCCGATTTGTTTAATCACGAGTATGATTACAGACTGAATTGGACGACACGAAGTTCTGTTACCAATTAATCATAACTTTAACAAAATTTGTGATACAATAGGCTGTTTTTTAAACCAAAACACAAGAAATTCGAAATTTTGTTTTGCTAGCAGTGAAAAAAAAAAGCCATTTTAAAAGCACACGCATGAGGGCACGTACTGTCCAACTACTTAGGCATGACGCGTACTGTCCTATTAAACTGTCCAATTAAGGCTGAAATCAGGGCAGTTGCGAGCCAATCAGATTTGACAATTTTGTTATAGTTATGATCAGGGTTTATAGAGTAAAAAAATAGTAGGTATGGTAATGTTGTTACCTTGTCCCTTGCGACCTTCTCTGTGAGTCCATTAGCCACCATTTTACTCAGTACTTTTTCTTTACTTTGTGCTTGCCTTGCCAGCTTGGCACTTCCATGACCAAACCTAGCAATGTAGTCCTGTGATTACCAAGAAAACAAATCTGTTATATTGTATCCCTGGGAAAACAGTTTTTGGCAATTATTCTTGATAGCAATAACTTATAGTGCATGTTTACGTTGGGCAAGCAAATTTCACTTCCACCAAGCCTAATTTTGAAATACCGTAAAATTCCGAAAATAAGCCCCTCCATGTACAAGCCCCTCCAAATATAAACCCCCCAAACTCGTAACGTAAAAAAACCGCCGTAAAATCGCCCCTCCGAATATAAGCTCCCTGGGGGCTTGTACTTGGAAATTGCCCTCAAATACAAATTAAAACAAAGCAAAAATGGTCAATTTCCTTCCAACTAAAAGGCTAGCCCAATTGATTTTGAAACGCAAATTTCCCTCCGTACATAAGCCCCTCCGAATATAAGCCCCTCCAAAAATAAGTCCCTCAAAAAAGTCCTTTGAAAAATATAATCCCCAGGGCATATTTTCTGAATTTTACGGTAATTGTAAAGTTGCCAAGCTTTGCATAAATAAATTCTCATGATAGTTGAGTTTAAAGGAATACCCACGAACACAGTAAGAGCAAATAAGAAGAACTTTGCTTACAAACGAGACTTGGTGGTGAAATGTGCTTGTCTGATTGTCGTTGAAGGGCTGTCACTAAGATTGCTAGTTACAGCGTAATACAACAAGTAGGTGAAGAATCAAACAGCTAGGGGTTTCTTTTTGTTCTATTTTTCTTTTATTTTCCTTTGAAAGTGGCCGGGGGCAATGTTCATAGTAGCCAGGGGAAATCCCTGGCCCGCGCCTCTTAATGACACCCCTGTTGTTGCCGTTATGGTATCTTAAAGTCCCTTCTAAAGGAGCTGTGTTGTGAAATTTATCAAACTTCAAACAGTGGGAAATGCCACCAAAACTGAGTGAGACATGGAAAGAGGAAATAGCAAATACAAACAGGGAGGCAGTTTTGAAAACTTGTGAACCTAACAGTAAATTATTAATATTTTTAAAGTTCATTCTTGCTGTTTATAACGTTTGAAACAATGCTTGGAAGACAAATATTATTACACACGAAGCTGAGATTTTGTCATTCACAAGTAATTTTTCAAGTTCCATAGCGAATAAGGACAAGTAACTGGCATTATAAACAAAATGAACTCAGGGCTTGAAATTGCAACTGATACAGTTGCCAATGCGACTAACATTTTTTCCTTGGCGACTAAAAACTCTGGTTTAGTCGCCACTTTGGTGACTGGATTTCTCTATGATTTAGATTTGAATTAAGAGAGTAAAGTTAAAACAAACATTTCAGGCTATCTTGCTTTGCTTTTGACATAAAAAAGTGCAAATCACATAAACAAAGCCAGTTTACCCTGAAATTTATACCGACTTCGGTCCGCACTATTTTCAAACAACCAAATCTGATGGATCACGCCATACTTAATGAGTTGCATCATATTTTATACATTATACAAACTGGTGACTAAAAATCTGCATCTGGCGACTATATTTCTCCAGTTGGTCGCCAAAAGGCGACCTGAAGATTTTTTTAATTTTGAGCCCTGGAACTAGACAGCCATTACACAGCATTTATTAGGCCATGACAATTTGGTAGTATTGACAGGATGGTATCAAACACTCACCTTCATGTGTTTGATTTGATCTTGTTCTCGGGCATACTGTTTCATCTGGTTCTCCTCAATTTCTGCTCTTGTCTTGACGTAGGAATCATAATTACCCTTCAGAAAAGAAAGCAATCATAACTTAATATTAAGTAATATGGGCATAGCTTATATTTGTACACAATGTGGCTGTACTAAAGGGAAAGATTTCAATTACTTTAGATCATTTAGCACAGTTACAATACATTTACAATAGTTAATCATAACTATAACAAAATTCTCAAATCTGATTGGTTATCAACTGCCCTGATTTCAGCCTTAATAGGACAGTTTAACAGGACAGTACGTGCTATCATGCACGCTTAAATGGCTTTTTTTTTTCATTGCTAGCAAAAAAATCTTAGAATTTCTTGTGTTTTGATTTTTAAAAAAGTCCAGTTCCGTCTGTAATCATACTTGTGATTAAACAAATCGGACTCCCGTTAGGCAGTCGTCTGATTTTGCTAATTACTCATATGATTACAGACCGGATTGGACTCCACTCCGTCCTATTACCATTACTTACTAACACTGCCCTGGTGGGGCTTTTCAGTGACAATGCCAGACAAATAAAATAAACTAATTAAATTAAAAAAAGGGTTTACAATTCAATTAAAAAGGAAAGAATGCAGTAAAAAAATACAATAAAACGTGCCTATTTAAAAGTTATATATATAATTATTATTAAATAATAAAATACTATCACTACAAGCTGTACAAACATGCATATTTTAAAGTTCAAATATAATAAAATACTACAATGCATGCTACTTAAAAAGTTAGTAATCAAATTTATTTTTCAGGTAAAATTTTACAGAAGAAATTGATTTTGAGGTTTTGAGAGTACAGTCTAGATTGTTCCAGACGTGCACTATGTGGTAATAAAAGGTTCTCTGACCGGCATTTGATTTATTTACAGTTGAGATAATTATGCAAGATCTGACAAGAAAATGGGCAGAATATGTAAACTGGCACACTGACAGATGACACTATGGCTGAAATTAAATAGTCACTAAGGATGATTTTTGCTTACCCCATAATACACAAGCTTTCCCTTGTGCATGTGAATGATATTTGTGCACACGCCATTAAGAAAATCCTGAGAGTGAGAAATCATCACTAATATCCTCTTGTAACTGCAAAGAACCACAAAGAAGAAAAGCCCTTTTGATGATGCAGCCATGCAGATAAAAGACGAGAAGACTATCAGCGAATCATCCATCAAACTTTGCAATACAGTAATGGTACCCTATAAAGCTTACAGATAGCTTGATACTTTAATAGTAGCTCCCCTTGGAGCTTTTCAGTCACTATTTACATGATCAGCTCAAAAAAAAAATATTACACTAAAATCACTGCTCAGAAAGAAACTGATCCATAATTCAGTTTTGTTAATTAACTTGTTGTCATCTTAGTTGTTGCAGATGTTAACCCTTTAAGCCCCAATATCCAAATACAAATTCTCCAAACTGATCTCTATACATTTCCTTAAACAATGAGTTGAGAGAATTTCATAAAAGATCAAAATAGTTTCTCTTAGGTGATCATTTCATTAATTCTCATAACCTCATCTCAAGATAATGTATGGATATCGTTAGGAGAAAATTGCTGTTGGTCACTATTGGGACTTAAAGGGTTGACAGGTCTAAGAATAAATGATTGTTGACCAGCAGCTGTTTAAAACAATGGTATTTCAAGGGTATCATAGTTGCGGGTCACCAGGCTATGGAGTGAGGATTGTTTGGGAAGTTTGTCACATAAAAAGCTACATGTAGAGAGGTTGTTAAACACACTTATTATGCCCTAACCTGTTGAGCTGGGGAAATTAAGTGGTGGGTTGACAAGATGGAATTCCCTAGAATTTGTAACAATTTCATTTGTAACAACACAGACAACAAATAAAATTAAACCATCAGACCTTTTCAGCTCCTCTTCCAACCAAACGCAAGCATCCAAATCCAAGTGGTTTGTGGGTTCATCCAATAACAGAAGAGTTGGTTTTACAAACAGGGCTCTTGCTAACGCGATTCTCATGCGCCAACCTCCAGAGAAATCTTTGGTTTTAGTCTGTTGCATTAACGGAGTGAAGCCTAAACCACTCAGGATTTCAGCACCTCGGGTCTCGGCCTTGTCTGCATCAAGCTCGTCAAGTCTTTCAAAGACATCTAATAACCTACAAGAAATTAATAACGATTTAAGTAACATAATACAGGGCTGTCACTGTAGAGCCATGACAGCATGCAAAGAAAGTCGTGTCCGATAGCCCTGGGCTACTGGATTTTGCAATTGGGCCAGTGAATTCTGTTCTTTACTTGCCTGAAGGGCAAGTGAAGTTTTCGGGAAATTCAAATTACAGAAGAATTGTAATCAATGCTGCTCATCAAAAATTTCTTGGGGCTTACGTAAAAGACTCTTGGGCTAGTACATACTAGCAACAACTTACCCGAATGGCAAGCCGTAAAACCGACTTTCTTTGCACCCTGCATGGGCTGGGTATTTTCTCTGGTTACTCTTATTACGACCCTCGGCTAATTTCATGGGATACAAAAGGAAAAAGAAACAAAAGAACCTCCTCACTGTTCATTTCCTTGCCTACTTATTGCATACAGTACCTGGCAACTTAAAATCACAATTACAGCCCTTATGACATGACACTATAGTAATGTTGATCGTTCCTCACAGTCACTTCAATATTTATTTTCTTATCACAACCAGCAGACATGGCTCTTTTAAAATCTTCCTGATAACTCTTGAAAAAAGCCTAGACAGATTTCTGATCTACTGGCTATGATTATGTTTGCTTTTATACCAAAGGAGAAGACTAAGGAGTGTTCTCATCATATCAGAAGGAATGATTGTTGTCTTTCGTTATCAAAAACATATAATTGTAGACGCGAAAGTTGATTCACGCGTCTCAAAACTCGAATGAATCTAGTTTTGAGGATCTGCTCACTTATTTAAGTCTATCAATCTATGGGCTCCTAGAAATTTGGCTTCGGCTTTTATTTAAGGAGCCCCTCAGAGCTTCCAGAACATTTTCTTTGGCAGCAGCCTAAATGAACCAAAATAAACCTAATACACATTAAAATACAACATCAGTAGGACGGTGAGTGCTTATCTTTTAAGAAGCTGATAATGTTAGCAATAAACATGCGTTAATACCTCTCACTTCCTTCATCTCCAAGTTTTGTGAGTTCAGCGGCCTCTGCTTCAAGCCTCATCCTCTCCTCATCAACCTCCATGACGCATTGAAGAGCTGTTTTATCAGATGCTTCTATCTCATTTTTGAGATGAAAAATGTCAATGTGGGAAGGAATTGGGATATCTCTGTTGCCTATTGTTTCAAGCATAGTTGATTTACCTACACAGAAAATAACAAATCAGTCCAACACTGATAGCAAAGGCAATGGTATATAGAAAATAGCAACGAGTGGCCTTCCATGAAAACCAATCTTTAAAGGCAACATATCATGCATGTAAAGGTCAAAATGATACATGTATTTACCATGCTTAACACCCACAACCATAATTATATTTTCTTTTTTCATACAGTTTCCTCCCAATAACTCGAACCCTCGCAACTTGAACCTCGTGTTAACTTGAACCAAAATCGATTTCCCCTGGATTTCCTTCATATATTTACTGTAATTTTACCCTTGGTGACTCGAACCTCCCGCTAACTGGAGGTAATTTTTGTTTCCCTTCAGGTCATTTCTGTGTAATTTTACCCTCAACAGCTCGAGGCTATGCTAAAAGTGCATGAAACAAAAAAACAAAAAAAAAACAGTGTACTGCAGTCTGAAACATTGAATTTATTTCAAAACAACCGTGTATTCTGTGTCTTTTTTCATCAGTCTTTTCTGTACTTTTATCTAGCCCTGTCTATTGATCAAGCTTTGTTGCTTAATTCCTTTTTCTAAATATAATTATCTCTTGCTGCCTTTGAAGTGAAGTGTTGATAAAACTTGCATTACTTTCCCATGCCATTTTATTTTATGGTTGTATTTGCTTTGAACTCCCATAGGGCCAATAGCTTGAACTCCTGATAACTCGAACTTTTTGCAATTTCCCTGGAAGATTTGAGTTATTGGGAGTCAACTGTAAATATAAAATAAAAATTCTGTGGTGGGAAGCTCGGAAAATCCTACAGGTGAATGAGAAAACATACAAAATACATAATTTTGAGCTACATGTAGCTGCTAATGTGAAATACATAGTAACATGGTGAAGCTACACCAAATGGAATAATTAATCAAAAAAGTGCTGTCGTCTTATAATATGTAAGCTTAAGTACGTAAGCAATTTTATTTTGATATTCTAACGAAACACAGTGCTAAAGGCTATTTTGGTCATTGTATTGTAAGTGAGTAAGTACAAATTGAGAAAAAAGTGCTTTCGTCTATGGATCGAAACCCCTACGCTTTAAAAGAGAGGAAATTAAAAGTAAGCTGAAATTAAGGGAAAGAATTTAGTTTAATTCGTTCGGTCTATAATAAATTCAGCTTAACAAGCTCGGAGGGAAAAAAGTTCCCTCAAAAAATTATTTGGACTAACAGGAAGCTAGTGGACAAGTATAATACATCATTGTTCTCTACAGAGACGTTTACACGTACATCCTTATTCTACAAGACTAGAAACATTTGAAAAATTAAGAAATTTTCCGTGTAAAAATAATTTGAGAATGTTTATATAAAGTAAAATCACTTTATTATTAAGACACGTTTGTATTCGAAATTCGAATCTACTTACCACAACCATTAAGGCCCAATAAACCATATCTGCGACCACAATTTAACTCCAATTTTGTATCTGTTAAGAGTTCAACACCGTGGAAAGTTATCGAAAAGTTTTCGATCTTCAGATCGCGAGATTGGAAGTGTGAAGCCAAAACGCCGGTACAGGAACGACTCGACAAATCCAACTTGACGGCGCCATTTTCCGTCCCTCGCGAATCTTCTACACCATTTTCTGTTGCTTCTGCCGCAGGTTTCGGCTTTCCTCTTGCTTGAGCTGCGGCTTTCTTTTTTGCTTGACGTTTCTTTGCCGCTTCTGAAGGCATACTTCTCGTCTTCCCCCAAAAAATTTTACAGGAATTTTCAATATCGTTCTCCACGACAGCAAACAAAATTTGATACGATTGCGCCACAGAAAGAGGAAGGAAAACATGTGCTTGTTCCCAGGCTGTCTTAGACAAATTTGGTCATAAGTACAAATTTTGGAGACTGGGGCTGATTGCTCTTGCTACCTTGTTTCCATGACTACTCGTCGGGAGAAAGGGATTTTCAAAATGGCGGTGGCCCGCACAAGAGCGATGGTTTCGGAGAGTTTTGATAGCTTTGTGGCCCCTGTGATCCAAAAATCCGTTCCTAATCACCTCTTGGAAACAAGTAAGAATATAAGAAAATAAAAGAAAATGATTCTAGTCTTCCTAGGACAAATATTTGTTGGGATTTTGACGGTGATATTTTTGACACTCAAACTTTGTTTCTGTAGAAATTTATGCCAAAGTTGGCCAAAACTCGATTGTGCAAGTCAGACCATCGGTGATTCACTTTGCTGGATTTCAAGTTGGTAAAAAAGCTACTCGAACCCTTGTAAGTAACGTATTTTATATATTTTTAGTTTAATTTGCATTTTATACCGTTAGAAACAGATTTCTTTTGTTGCTTGCAATTTTACATTGAAGGCTTAGCCCTGATCAGCGAGAATATTCTTAATTTTTTTTCCTCTATTTTCATTTGCCCTTAGAGATTAGCAAATGTTGCTGATGAAAGCCAAAGAATGCACATCCTTCCACCATCAACAAAGTATTTTTACATCAAATACACAAAAAAGGTAAGCTTATTAATCAGCTTAGGTAATTTTATTTACTCATCATATTCATTGTTATATTTTAGAAAATATAATAGTTTTGTTAGGTTTACTGTATGCAGGCCTGTGATAGCCAATAAGAACTACCCCTAGCAGAGCTGTTGTTGCACTTTGAGGTTTTGATTTTTTATCATTTTGTCTTTGTTATTTCGTAGGAAAAGCTTGTTCCAGGAATGTTTATTGAAGTGGTTGTTGAGTTTACCCCAGATGAATGGAGATACTATTATGACTGCATTCGAATTCACACCAAGGTACAGTTTGAATAAACCTCGTCTTGAATGAGTGCAATACAGTTTGCTGCCATTATAATTCTGATGCTGTAGTTTCCAAATGTAATACATGTACAATGAATTTTGTTGTCCAGGCCCCAGTTGTTCAAATACACTCTTTTTTTTTTATAAGAATGTATTTTATAAGAATATCGAGGCTGAAATTTGCGAAATTTTAAGAATATTTTAAGAATAAAGCCGAGGCTGAGTGAGATTTTGAAAAGGATAGATATAATTTTGTGTGTTGAAACATCTTTAAATACAATACAATTTTATGTTTTTCACTTAACCGTGTAAAATTATTCCTTTCTCTAAACGGCGAAACTAGCCAACAAAATGAAAAAACCTGCACTAGCTATAGCAAAATGTTCAACGCTAATGACAGTTCGATGAACGGTACATGTAATACACATGTACAGTATTCAGCACAGATCTAGATACCAAACACTTGTAATTGATACCCCAATAAATTCTAAAACGGAAATGTCATAAGCTATAATTTAAGAATAATACAAGAATATTTTCAGCCTAAAATCGGCAGAAAAATAAGAATATTCAGCCTGGGCCGGAAAAACAATATTCTTATAAAAAAAAAAGAGTGTATTGGATAGTACTAATCCACCGGATAAACCACCATCCAGTAGCTGAGTATTTTAGGGAACCAATTGCGTTATCTACTGTATAAATTATATCCAATGGATAGCACTATCCAATGTTTAAACAACCAGGACCTGATTTTCAGGAACAATGCATTTTTTTTTCAGTTTTAGTCATGCCAAGAATCAGTAAAAGAGTCCAGATGGGAATTAAACCTAAAAAAAAAAGTGAAAATTAAAAAATTAAACCTTGTGCTGACCTACAGCATCAGCCCAACTTGCATTCATAAATCAAGAATTGTATAGTTTAATAGCATCATTGTATAAGTAAAGGGTGTTATTCTCAACATAGCGAAGTGATATTGTGGTCTCTGTGTTACTGTTGTTGTTTAAGGCCGAGGAAAACCTCATAATTCCTGTTCATGCTTATCCTGTGATGAATACAGATGGATTTCCCAGAGAAGTTCACTTTCCTTTGGTTCCATTGGGTGAAAAGTAAGATAAAAAGCAGAAATATATGGTAAAGTTATGATGTCTATGTATGACATTGATAAATGTTCATTAAATGCTTAAGAATTTCATAAGGATAACATTTTAATCAAGAGCAAGTCATCAGGGAGAGCTGTGAAGCTACCTTTTCGAACAAAACTACAGTTATTTTGTAGGTCAATTTTGTCAAAATTAAATTCAGGCTGAAATTTTTCAATTTTGGTTCATTCTCAGCTTCCTTTGTCTCAGTTAACCCCAATCATAAAATTATTAAAGAGTTCTGAGGTAACAAGACAAACTGAAAAGTACACTAGGTTACAAAATTTTGACTTGAATTTTACTTTAATTGACTTATAATGGATACCAGTACATGTATATATACAAGACTGGGATTTGGCTGTTGTGTTTACAGTAACATTATGTATTTCTTTTCCAGGATCACCCATGTGATTCCTCTCAAGTGCAGTATTCCTGTTGATTTTGAGTTTACATTGAGTCATGTACAGACACACCCTGCTTTTTTAGTGGATCCTATGTCAGGTAACACAGTATTGTACCACTCAATTAGAAGTTGAACTTGTGTTATGACTGTATCTTGTGGGATCCATGATGAAAAATCTATGCTCTACAAATAATATTATTGAGCATAGCAAAAGTTACCCTGTGAGCAGAGGCTACATTTTCGCTGTTTGAGCTGTCATGTGAAAAGAAGCCTCTGCTGACAACTGTTCAAATCTGTCCAGAAATCTGGACAAATAAATTAAAAAACCCGGGTTTTTTCCCTGTTCTTGACTGGTTTAGAGCATTGCATGAGTCTTGTGTGAGCCTTGCTCAGCAGATCAGAGTTGTCGCAACTGTTTTATTCCAGTGAAACTCGTGCCATTTGACAACACACCTGACGATTAATTTGTTCGCGAATCGCAATGACAAATTTTGCGCATACACAATAGAAAATTGAACAGTTGTCAGCAGAGGCTACTTTTTGCATGCCAGCTCACCCAGTGAAAATGTAGCCTCTGCTTGCAGGGTAAGCAAAAGTTGTTATCATGATATAAATTTGCGGGCTTCCTTTAGGTAAAGTAAAATTAATTTACGTGTAAGTGGCGTATCTAGGGAAGGGCCCCTGCAGGTCCCCTTATTTTTGACGACATCTAAGGTATTGTAGTTCATTTGGCCTGTAAGGATCCCCACCTTTCTCAACTCAACCTCTGGATCTGCTGTTGATTTATGTTAGCCAAATGTTAAAAGCTGTGTTACTATCCTTGAGGTAAACTAAAGGTGCAATGTTTCCTTATCACATCTATATACTGCTGTATATGAATAATGATATATTGTTAATATTTGCTGTGGTGGACTTGAAACTGGTCAATTATCCTGGCAGACACCTTATAAACAGTAGTTAATTACAAAAATGTCTGCATGTTTTATTAAATTGCAAATATTCTTTCAAATAATTATGTGTGCTATATTATTATTATTTTGTAGATCTTTTAACTGATTTATGTCAAGCCCATACATTCTTTTTTAATTTTTTAGGAATTGTGAGAGGTAATAGTGAGGTGGAAATTAAAGTGACTTTCGCACCAATGGATTTTTCTACAGCTCATATGAAACTTCAGGTGAGATTACTTAATGGATAATCATTGCATGAATTCACAGTTGATAGCTATTGTTTGTAAGATGGAACTCAGAACCTAAGAAGAGCACAAACATACATTCTACTGACTAATAATGGCTGCCATTTTTGGCTATTAATTATTCTAATTGTAAATTGCACCATATTCAAGTTTCCTCTTAAAAAAATGACCATACATGCCATTTGTTGGGCTTTAATTTAGACTGGTGCACCCATTCTTTAAGACTTAAATTGTCTGTTGAATGAGCATTTGCAAACTTTTTACTGTTATTTCTTACTGTAGCTAATGGTATCCCAATTCAATATGGCTCCTCTTGTCTGCTCTTTTACTGGAACATCAGAACCTGGACTAACAAAGAGGTTTGTTCATCTTTGGCCTATATGCCACACTGTTTATGCCCACTGATGAATATTCTTGTTCTTACAGGTTTCTTATAGTTTCTGGAGATATTTTTCCTAAAAAGTTCAGTTCACATTTAGTGATTTTTTTTTTCATTCTTGGTATCCACTTTATACTTGTAATGTAAAATGTATCAAAGTGAATTTGTCCCTGTTCCTTTATCACTAAATGAGTCTGAACTATTGACATGCTAAATTTTTGGTTTTTTGGGCCACTGAAAGCACATGTACACTTGCATTATGACCAGTAATTTCAAACCAATTGGCTTTTTAGGGTTAGGAGAGCTGCTTAATGACTCAGGCCATTATGACTGCCTGTTTTATTTCTATTTCCATCTCAGTTATACCTGTAAGTTTTATGAGACATGTCATGTTGGTCATCTGACTCTCACTCTAATATCCCCCTACTTTTGGCCAAGGAATATGTTGTCATTGTTTTAGAGTTTTCAGGTTTAATCAGTATATGGTACCTAAAAATGTCATTTACTGATCACATAGCAGTGATACAAATGCAAAGTAGTGGTAATATTACTTTTGTCACCCATTGCAATGTTCTAGAAAATCCATTTCCACCTTGTGGATGGTCTTTGGAAATTTTGAGGGGGAGCGGAGACCTTAAGGCCAAAATCCTAAGGGAATTATTATTTTTTAATGTGAAATTTCCAGGAGGGGTGAGGGGGGAGATTGAAATTAAAAACCCTGTTTGGGAGAGCTTTTTTTGGAACAACTCAATTTTTTTTATTTAATGAATACCCTTGCAATTATTGCATTTTACAGATTAAAATCCAAGGAATGGACTGAGGAATTGCCCCCTCTTCCACCCAGTGGAGTGTTGGATCCACTTTTGATTGATCCTCTTGGTAGAACAAGACTAAAGAAACTAAAAACTAGACTGTGGACTCCAGGAGAAAATAAAACACAGGTGGGCAGAATAAAAGCAAATGTGTTTTACAGGCCATCATGTCCTTTTGCTGTCGTATTTGTGGTCATCTATACCTGGGGGTACTCCGTATAATGACCTTTACATGTATGGGGACGTTCTGCCCAAAAGGGGTATCTTTTTCAGGCTTCAGGTATATGAAAGGGTGGGGAAATCTGTCAGTCTGTAAAAAGGCCCAGAAGGGTTAAAAAGATGAATTTTATGGCTGTGAAAAAGTTGGGAAAACATTCTGGTTTATAGTTTATTCATCTGTTAAGAAAATGTATTTACACAAGCAGTTAAAACTAGGTACATTCAAACCTCTTTTAATAATACGAACACCAAAGGGAAAGAACCAAGTGTCCACTTTACAGAGGTGTCCGTATTATAGAGGTAGGGAATGTATGATTTTTGGAATTTCTCGGACCAAACGAACTGTCCGTAATAATGAGGTGTCCATATTACAGAGGTGTCTGTAAGGAGAGGTTACACTGTATATATGTGAAAGGTGTACCATTTGTCAATAGAGGGTATATGAAAGGGGTACGTCTTCTGTCAAGAATGGTGTATAAAAAGGTTAGGGGTTGGACCTCAGGGCAGAGCCTCCCCGTATGAAACTTTGTCGAATATTCCCCCTTTCCGTGGCATCTGTATCACTTGTAGGGTATCCTTGAGAGGGAGGTACCCTTGCCATTGGCGTTGGTGACTTTACTTTAAGATTTTGGTTATTGGTGCAGTCACAAACACAACCCACAAAATACTCTGCAGACCCTGTCTTTGTTGTCTATCAACTGAGCTTGTCCTGTGGTAGTTAAACTGTTTATTGTACATTATCAAGAGAGAATAAGCTAGATTATTCTCTCTTGACATTATACATCACGATGTTTTTTCTCCGGGTAGTCCGGTTTCCTCCTCTCCTCCAAAACCAACATTTACAAATTCCAATTCGACTAGGAATCAGAACCACTTAGTGGATGTGCTACAACTAACTCATTATTTATTTATTTATTCAATGTCATGAAACCAGTCCATAGTAAATACTATTTACCATTGATGAATCATGGCCCTTTTTTTACTTTTTTATCCACAGGAAGTGGTCAAAGATGGATTGAGATTTCCTGCTGTGGGTCTTGATAATCCATCAACAGTGTCATGTATTTTGCTGCAACAACCAGGAAAACTGAAGGCTAAACAAATTAGAGAAGGTAAGGAGAAGGCAAAGAGTTTTGCAGCCATCACACTTTGTTGCCTATGTGATAAAGCGAGTGAAATTCAAGAGCCATAATGTTTTTCCTTGCAGCTGTTCAGGCTCAAAAAGATGTAACTGGCAGCACAAAACAGATGAAAGTAAGTGCAGAAATCTTCCTTAATGCAGGGTTCGTATGGGTCATAAAACCTGGAAAATAATGAAATTAAGAATTTCATTTTCCAGGCCTGGAAAACCATGAAGTTTAATTGCTGATTGTGGAAAGTTATGAACAATTAAAATTATGTTTGGTAAATTATTTACTACAGATGTCAAAGCAAGGACAATGTAAGATAGAGATGTCGAATAATAATGCGGATGGCAGGCATTTTGGTGGACACCAGCGTTTGTGTCTGTTTAACTGGGTTTGGTAAAAAAAATTCGCTAAACAAGGAAAGTTTTGAAATTTTTGAGAGCTGACAGCTAAACCTAAGAATGTTGAAAACTTTAAAAGGTCATGCAAAGTAACTCTACAGGGGCATAGCCAGGATTTTTTCAGAGGTGTGCACAATTTTCCAAATCCCCGTGCAACCCCCCCTCCCTCGCACCCCCTGCCCAAACTCCAAAATCTGTACCTTGATTCAAGGCGAGGTTGTGAACCCAAAAAGGCGGCATAGACTTTTACAACTTACTTAAAAGTATGGTGTAAAACTCTATGTCTCCCTTTTGGGTTCAATGACTAAAACACGTCAATGGCTTATCATTAATTATGCCAACAAACTAGTGGTCAGACTTTTACTTACAAACTAGTGATAATGCTACAGTCATGTACCTAACTTTCGCCTGTGATCAACACTACAGCAGTCTTGTGTGGTCCATTCTTAAACTGTTTTTCTTTGCTTTCATAAGAAAATTGACGCAATTACAAAACGTTCCAGTTTTTATTTTTGTTTGTTTTGAGTCTTTCACTTACTCATTACAGAATCAAAAATTTCCTTTCCAAGTGTATAGTGACGGAATTTTGATTTACCCCTTAGGTTAATTGACAGAGAATAATGTGGACTTAGCCAAGCCTAAAAATTTATAGACTGACCTTTTACAGTGTACAGTGGTTATTGAATTTTGATGGGTGATGAATTTGAGCCGGCAACAACACCTTTGATGTTAGCCGATCACCCATTTTGACAGCTGTTAAATGGAAAGGACAGGAGGGGGTCATTTGATTAAGAAAATACTTTCTCTAATTCATAAATAATTCATAAAGAAAATACAAAGGAAATTGATGTTTAATGAGTGTTTGGAAATCAGATGAAAATGTGCTCATTTTTGCGTCCTTAATTTCTCCTTCTAAAATCATTTTGTTTGAGAAGTAATATCAAGTAATATCAAGCACAGTGATTCATCACCAGATGAAACACCTCGAAGTTCGTCAAAAATACTCCGCTGCGCGTCGTATGTTCAACTCTCTTCTCATCTCATGCTTGATAAGTATGTGTAATCAAATGGTGACGAGTGAAATTATTCCTTAATTTCACGAGTATACCATTTGATTACCTATTAATATCACGGGTGACGAATTACGTTAGCAATCGAGGATTTTTGACTTGTTTATCCTGGATCGTATCGATCGATCGTGAACTCCACTCTCTCAAACGTTTAGAGCTAAAATTTGGCTTAAGTTTTCAGAATTTTTCGACAACATACCTCCAAGAATCCTTCTTGATGTGCTCTTTCGTGTGTTCATGTTTTCTAAAGCGTTTTTTTATGCTCTGACATCTTCATTCATGACATTTTAAAACTTCCTCGCCATCTTGAAACGGAGACGTACAGTATGTTGCCATGGCAATTTAGTAATTTCACATGTGAAATTACAAATTAACGCTGAAATTTCGCGCCAAAATTAAGGAGTAATTCGTCACCTATGTTATTAATTGAGTAATTTTGAACTTTTCCTCCTAACGTAACTGGTTCTTCTGGACAAGAAAATAATGGTATTGCATTACACAGAAACAGTTGTGAGTGAACAAGCCCTCTGGGAATATTTGTTAAGTATTTTAATTATCTACTCTTTAATTTCATTGCAAAGGAAACGAAGTTTGAATATGAAGTCCATCAAAACATACAAGAGGAAAGACAAAACCAGCTTAGATGGTAAGTTACAAAGTTCTCTGCTAAGATTTTATACATGTTTGTAAGAAATTTTTAGGGACCTTACGATCCGACGACGGTGACGGAGATTGCAACAAGAACGTCAAAATGGCAATAGGTTTGAATAAGCAAAACAACAACCTAGCCTGCGAGTAAGCTCCCCAATTATGGCGAGCGAGGCGAGTTGCGAGAGAACGCGCGAGTGACTCTCGCGTGACTTCTCGAGATTCCTCCGACAACGTGGCCTGCGAGTAAGCTCCCCAGTTATGGTGAGCGGGGTGAGCAGCGCGACAACGCGCGAGTGACTCTCGTGTGACTTCTTGAGATTCCCCAAAATGCCCACAGACTAAACAACAACAGTGCACGCACATCACACTAGTTTGTACATTTCTTTAAGGTCACAGCAAGACTACGACGTGAAAATGCCTAATTTCACATTTTATGGAGGACGGAAACCGAACCACAACGAGTTTTTCTTTCTCATTCTGAACTTGGATGTGGTTCTTAGGAGTTCAACTCCAGAAGAGTTCGCTAACATTTGACAAAGTAATGGAGTTGAAATAATTAAAGCAAAGTTTTCGCTGCCGTCACCTTCCTCAGATCTGAGGTCTCTTTTGACAAGTTACTAAACTGCTGATGGTTTTATCATTTTTTGCCCATCTGATTATTTTTTTCTGTTGAGTCTTAAAAGTTCAAATGAATAAATATTTTCATGTGCTGTGTCATGCTGGTTTATATGGTAGTTCGTGTTGTTTATATCAGGTGCGTGAGGTTAGGTGAAGATCCAATCTCAGATGCTACCAGAAAACAAATCTGTGAGACAAGAACCCTTACTGAACAAGAATATAGGGTAAATACAATTTGATAGCTTTTAAGCCAAAGTGAAACTTGTTGGTAGACTGAACGTGTTCTTACGCGAGAGACTCCTCTCACCAATGCGTCACACCCTTTCTGTTGACACACTAACATACAGTGCGGATCAGTTAAGATCAAACTTTCGACGTATTAAATCGTGTACCTTAATCGATTTCTTCAAGAACGCCAAGTTAAGCTAGTTTTATACACCTGCGTTAAGCGATATGTTCACTCGGACCAAGAGAAAATGCGTTCGGACTGCTTTGAGCGTTACCACAACTTTCAAACAGTCCGAAAATCTGCTAATTGGTGGAGCGCCGTAAAAGGAGACGCAATCCAAATGCAGCGCGCTTATTTTCGAAATGTAATTCAAGTTATTTTTCTTAGATAACGAAAGCTTAATATAAATATCTTCTCTTTATTTTCTTATGGAGCTTAAACAACCACGATGATGAGGGTAACGAAAACGTCTAAGAAAAAAAAAAATGGTCATGTGAGATAATCACATAACCATCACACTTTTACTTTGTATTCTTTGACCCACACTGCACGACTACGACGTGAAACTTCCTTATGCGGGGTTTTATGGAGGACGTGAACGTACGACGACGAATTTTCCTTCTTCTTTTTGAACTTGGAAATAGCTTTTAAGAATTCACCTCCAGGAAAAGTCGCCTAAAAATTGAGATAATTTGAGCGAGGCCTAATAAACTTGATAAAGTTTAAAGAACGGAAATTAGTTTTATAGTGATGCCTTACCTGTCTTCATCGTCGTGGCTTCTTTAACTCCCAATATTTTAATATTTGATACTTAATTCGCGTCAATATGGGTTTGTCACTAATTTAACTTGTCCTTATGAACTTTACAGCTTAAACGCGGTGATCCAGTGACAGAAGTGGAATACGATCGATCGTGCGTTGGCTGTGAGATGAGGAGAATACACAGACGCGCTAATGAAGTAAGTTATATTTTGAGTAGCCTGCCGGCAAGCTATCCCCTTCGAGTGGCGACAGGAGCCGACAGCGAAGTGAGCCGCGCGAGAACACGCAGTGTAACTTCTCACGATATCCCCCAATTGAAAAGCTTGCTCGCAGGCTGTATTTTTGAGGGAGTTAGTACTGTACTGAGTCTGTACTGGTAAAACTTTTGTCGAAACTTTCACCCGGCATTTATGCTTATACTTTGTTGTTGTTGTTGTTTTCACATTTTGTTTAGCCTGTTCAAGGCGTTCAGAGCTCGGCTAAAAAATTGACGAGGGAAAAATAAAGCGGAGACTAGAGCGAAAAACCTGGGCTCTCTCCCCTCGCTTTGCTTTTGAGCTCTACGAGTATGATTTGACTCACTTCCTACCACATCAACGCCTTCATTAGGCCACATTTTGTGTGCTGGAAACATTCCAACGTCTACTAAATGCCTGTATAAAAATTGCCGTTCTGACATCAGATGTGATTCTAACATAATGCCAAAGATGGGATTATGATAGCCTGCGAAAACAGCCGTTTCTCCCCGCTCTCTGAGTCGCAGACGTTCCTCCCGCGTGAAACGTCCCCAGCGGTGAAGAGCGAGGAGAAACGGCTGTTTTCGCAGGCTAGGATTGTGATGGTGTTAGATTTATTCCTTTTAAGGTGAGACGGAACATGGACGAAAGCTACCTTATCTTTTCTTATTGTCCCTAAATAATGTACATTTTTGTTCAATGCTTTCACAGATAGCAGAACACGAGCCCAGATTCGATCTTCTTGTGAACGATGAGTGGAGCAAAAGACACATGGTGATACAGAAGTTTGTTCAAGCAGGAAGAAAGGTAAAACATGCCAGCATATGCCATCACTCTTCGCATTAACTTCATCTGGGTCGGTTAATTTTCAGTCTTCCCTTGCATTATTTTTCCCACTAACCTGATGGACGCCCCAGGCAGGTTCTAACCACAGTATTTTTTTAAAACGCTCTTCAGGGGCTTTTTCATCTGAGAAGTACATTATTTTTTTGCATTAACACACAGGGTTTTTTTAAACTTTCGAACATGCGTTTTGTCGGTTGTTCATCAGGCCCGGATTGTTCAAACGTTGGATAGCACTATCTAGTGGATAAGTATTAGGTAATCCAATTGCACTATCCACGGGATAGCGATTTATATATCCGGTGGATAGCGCTGTCCACCTTTTGAACAACTGGGGCCAACATCCTTAGCTTTTCACAGCTATCCATTCTCGACCTGCTCAATAGTTGCCGACCGTGGCCTAGGATCAGCTGGTTACGGGTCAGACAGGAAAGAAGAAACATTTACAAAAATCAAAACTTGATTAAACTTTAACTTTACCAATTGTATTTTTTTGTCTGCTGTGCTTGTTTTTTCTCATGCAATATTTGTGAGATGCAAAAGTCACTGCGTTTGCAGCTGCACGAGCGCGCGAAATCTATCGCGCGCGCAGTAGAAACTTGTGCTGCTATTATGATGTCATAGGTTTTGCTTTTGAATTCACCGAGCCGAAAGCATTTGAGAGGCACAAAACTTACTTTGTTTGAACAGCATGCAGCTTTGCGTTTTATATGGTCTTTTTTGCGCTTTCAGACTGAGCCCTGCAGAAATGTTTTTAGGATTCAATGAGACTTAGTTTTTCACCCACAGTATGCAAAGACAACTGTGTGACTTAAATGCATTTTGACGGAGTGGCCTCGAGAAAATATGGAGAGTTCTTCATCCTTTCACCCAACCGCTCTTTGGGTTTCACTGTTTCGGTGGAGGTTTCTTCTAAGACAAGCTTACCTTAAGCTTGACTGATATTTAACCTGTTCGGCGATGTTTTCTATTTCGTTTTAGGTTATAGTGAGGCTAAGGGCAAGCAAGCATTTAAATTCTTTAGGAGAGTTTGTCACGGACTGGAGAAAAGGCAAATTCACTCGGGAGCATACAAGTAAGTGTTTATTAACCTGATGCAAAAGTTAGTTCGTGGATGCATTTAAAAATGTATTTTGCTTTAATACAATGATATAAAAATTGCTAATAGACTGTACGCGGTTTGTTAACAAAGGACAAATTCAGGTCCCGACAAGTAAGCAACAAATACAGCTTACGTTTATCGCATCTTGTAATTTGTTTAACGTGTAAAATCATTCTCGCCATCACCCTAGACATATGCTGTACATTGACTTTGCCCGAAGAAATCTTATTTTTCCTTCTTGAATTTTTGTATTGTTCACCCAGGTTTGTTTTGTTTTTGTTTTTGTTTTTTTGTTTCTATCTCGCACTGCTTGCGTTGAGAGTTTTTTTGGTCATTTCTTTGTAGGAAGCCAACTCGCCGAGAGTGAAGGAGAAAAGTTATTTGATGAAGTCGGGGTACCGTTACAAATTCAGTCTGCGTCTATCTTCCCGTTTTCGTTCCCTTCTTACAAGTCTCCTGACATGAAAGATGACATGGTTAGTCCTACATAGTCTTACCGAACTCAGTTTTATTTTGAACATTGCCTTCAAGTGCGTAAGAAAGAAAGTACTTGACAATAGAGCGAAGGTCCGTAGTGGGTTCATTCATAAAGGTTATGAGAGCCCATATAAAGCAAAGCGACTGACATGAAACGTAAACGTCTTGTTCGCACTTATATCTGAAGGTCGCTTATGAGTTTTCAAAGTCAGACTCCGCTCCAAGGCCAAGAAACAAAATGTATATTGTGCTTATTTAAATGACATGCCCAAGAATAACCGTCTGACAGACTCGTTGGTGTATTTTTTTCGTATAGAGCGAAAGCAAAGTATTTTCTGAGTGTTATCATACTTGTTTTTCAACAGGATGTCGATGCGCTTGGTACCTTGAACGTTCAACCAACCGTGGTTAAAGTGAAGACGCATGTTCCTTATTATAACTTAAAGGTAATTCCTGAATGCAATATAATAAAAAATTGGTTGTTGTGAAGTTTGTTTGAAAATATGAGACATAAACTATCTGTGAAGTTCGTTTCGAAGCGAAACAAACGGTAGTGTGGTGATTATCGATTAGGGGCAGCCAACGACTGTTTCCTGTAAAATATCTCTGATTGTTTAGAATTTTCTTTAGTTCAGATTAGATTTATAGTTTAGATTTCTAGATGACTGTTCCATTCAAGTGCAATTTTCTAAGATTATCTAATAAATCCCTCACGATTTTCTAAAGTCTAATTTTTCACATTTCGCTTCTCAGGTTAAGCTATTTTTCGTCGAAAAAAGAAAATCTAAATTTTCGGATTCAAAAATGTGATGAAAAGAGGAATTAGTAAAATTCTCACTTTCGTAATACGTTGAATGACATCTAAAATTTTCGGGAGAATAATACTGAAGCCCTTGTAATTTCGAAAAGACTCAAGTTCCCCTAGGATGACCGAACAGATACAAATTTTATAGCTCCTCTTAGAATGCATTTCTAGAGATCTAAAAGTACTCTGGAGAACCTTATAAGTGTTTTCAGTGTATTTAGGAGGAAACCGTCCTTGGGTGCCTCTGCATAGGGCGGGTCAAGGATATGAGTCGTGGGGTTTTTCAGTTTCGGGTGCGGGAAAGTTTGAAAATCCTGGAAATTTAAATTTATTTGGGATACATTAGTATACTTTGCACTCTTGGCGACTATGATTGCAAAGAGGAAAGGTCCTCAACTCGCATCTCAGTCTTGCTTATATTAAAAACAGCAGTCTCAAACCTCACTTTGATCGCAAGTTCAAATTGTAGCTCTGAACTTGAATACATCACTAGACTGCGTGAAAGCTCTCCATTTGGGGGATTCGAGAGAAGTCTTGCAATAACCGAACGCGAAAGAACACGCGTATGTGAGGGGCGCGTTCTCTTGCGGCTTGCTCGCTTGCCATAATTTAGAGCTTGCTCCCATAAGTTATGGGAGCTTCGTTGCTATGGTCCCTCTGTTTCTTAATTACGTCATTACGTCTAGTTCTTAGTACTTGTATTTGTAACAATTACATAACGTCCAATCGAAAAATAGTTAAATAATCACATAGGGGAAGTTAACTTAGGAGTTAAATTTCTTTTTCAGGTACCTAAGCGGTATGAAATCTTGGGTTACAATCCTCATTCCGTAGCCGATGCATCATCTGGATACGTCCCACCAAAGCTGGTTCGCACCTTAAGAGTTGGCGCCGAGGTATTCTAAAACATATGCTGACATACACAACAGCCTCATTGAGCTCTCTTAAGCCCCGTACAAACGGACGCAACGTTGTCGGCCAACAACTCCCAACATTATTGGATGTTACATGTTACGTCCGTTTGCACACCCTGTTGCATGTTGTTGCGTGTTATTGGGAGTTTTTGCGCAAAGTTTGAAACCGGTTAAAGTTTTGAGCCACAACTCTCCAACATTTCTTTTGTTCAGTGTTAGCCGAGGCGTAGCGCAACAATGTTGGATCTGTTTGCACAGCTTTTCCAACATTGTTGGGGCGACGCACGCTCATTACACATGGTCTCCAAAGTGTAATGGGTTGTATCCTTTCCACGATGCACTGCAGATCCCAACAATGTTGGACCGACAGTGTTGGGAGTTGTTGCGTCCGTGTCGGCAGTGGCGTGAAAACGGATGCAATAACTCCTAACATTGTTGGACCAACAATGTTGGGAGTTATTGTGTCCGTTGCACGTAGCTTCAGGCCTACTATGCACTCAGTTGGGCAACGTTGAAACTGCTGTAATCGTTTACCATTAGACAACCGTTTAGAATTTTTAAATCAAATTTGTCTGTCGTTTTGCGTCAGACACACATCGGTGGAGACGTGAGCGATTTGGGGTAACCTTAGGGAGTTTTTCGCACATTTTTTAGACGGAGAAACAGACGCGTGAAAAGGCTTAACTGTGTATTTGCAGTAGTGATGGGCTACTGGTATTTGTTATGATTGTAGTTTCCCTGTAACTCCTAGCTTCGTTTTAAACTTTTTTTTTTTACCTAAGCTAAAGCTTGAAAAAAAAATTCAGCCTCTAGAAAACTTAGTTTATCAGTCTTCGCATGTTCTGAATTGTCACCTTTTTTATTTTTAATCCTTTACATCTTCATTAAAAGGAGTTTAAGCCATTCGTTGTTTGAATCTAAGTTTGATGAAACGTAAACTTTTTTTTCAGGACGAGATAATAAACTTGGTCAGCAGTCTTCCTCTAACGTCAGTGAAAAGTCCCAGTCCTGTCCCGACAACAGACGGTGGAGAGGAGACTAAGGAAGAGGCTGAGGGTGACAGAGCTGCGAGTCCTAAAATGGCAAGCCCTATAATCGCCACCCCGCATGAGGACCTACCTACACAGGAGCATGAAGCAGTACCCCTCGTGGTACCCGCGGCACTTTTTAGACCCACCTCGTATCACCCCATGCATATTTTTGTGAGTAGTTGCTATTATTTTTTATCGCACAAATACAGAGAGTTATACACGTGAAAGATCATGGCAGTTTAAATATTTAAAATCATAGATTCACTTTCTTATTTTTATCTTCTACTGGTGTAATACGATCAAAGTGCCCGCTCTCAGTGCTACAAGGACAGTACCAATTTCCCGGACGTTAAATCCCCGTCCACCCTCTTTTTTTTTCAGGTTTTTTGTTTGCAAATTTCTAAGTTGCCGTGACATGACTGAGATGAACTGTCAGGTGTTTTAAAAATCTTCCTCCTGCGGTTCAAATACCCGAAATGATCGATTAAGCCTCGCTCTCAAATAAGCGCAGCACCTTTACCGAAAATAACTTAATAAGCGGTGCTCTCGAATAAGCGCTGCGGTGGTAATTTTGGTATTAACAAACTAACGCCCCACCTTTGCTACGGCGCTTGATATCGCTTGAGAAATAAGACCTCTGCCAACTCGTGAGCTCTAAAGTTTTAATGTAGGGAAACTCTTGAAACCATGTTCATATGACGGTTCAAAGTGTACATATTTTATACTTATTTGTACATACCAAGTATGGGCCTCACTTAATTCTCTCTATATTTCCCTCGGGGTTTAGACTGCAAAACAGTCCGTATTTTTGCGTATTCAAGTACGCGCGAGCAGTCAAACAAAAGGTGTGGAACGAGGCTGAAAACAGAGAGCAAGACTGGGGAGAGACGCTCGCACGGTTCGCGCGCGTAAGACTCTTACGCCACGCTTTACTGATTTCTTTACTGATTTTGAGGAAAAAACCGACTGTTTTGCAGTCTACTCGGGGTTTTATCAGTAGTTGAAATAAGTGCCGCTCTCGTATAGGCGCCACACCTATAACTGGGAAAATGAAATAAGCGCCGCGGCGCTTAATCAATCATTTACGATACACTGATGAAATTTCTTACATAGTATTTGCTTTCACACGGAGTTGTATGATTTAACGCATTGATAAAACTGTAAAACATTTATAAAAATGTCCTTACAGCAATCAATGTGCTGTACGTTGTAACCACATCCATAGGGAAACAAAACGCAGGCAACGTGGTATTGAAATCATTCTTTCTATTTTCTGGAGGTCAGACCCACTGGCAAAACAAGACAAGAGCGAGTAGCCATCACAAACAAAGAGCAGTGTTTTCTTTATTATAAACGCTCTTTTCCTGGACAAGTTTTTTGTAAATGAATTAACGATTATTTTTGCTCCACAGAATCCCGCACCTGGCCTTCAAGTATTTAAACCGCCGCTACCTTACGCAGAAGTGGATGAAGATTATCACCTGTGTCCCCTGCCTCGCAACAGGACAACAGGAAAACCAGGAAAACAGGGGAGAAAATACCTTGAAAGACAGGTGAATCAATCTTGTTCCAACCAAAAAAAAAAAATATGTTTCCAATTTCCAAAGATACTGGATGGTAGATACAACTGAGTTTTGCAGGTAATTCCAACAGACCTAGAGAAATATTTGAAACAAATCTAATTTGAGGCTTTCATGAAAGTTGGTGATCACATTATTTATGAGAAAACCGTGGAATTAAGTCACTACAACTAATGCTTGCTCTCAGTGGAGGGACGTTAGCTTTAACATTAACACTAACGATAACTCAAGAAAACTGAAGAACCGTAAGCAGGAGTCAATTGAAGAAATTTTTACGAGTGTAATTTAAACTTGTAGCCATTGGTTTTTAGAACAATAGCTATACTTTTAAATTACACTTTTTAAAAGTATTGTTAATTATACCTCAACGTTCATGATAAAAAAAAATAATGAAATGTTTTATTTAAAATTTTATAAAGAGCAAACAAACATCTTTTCTCTTCAGGATGTTATTCCCGGCGTCATGACTTGGAAACGGTTTCCATGCCAACCTCTGGTATCCATGGCAACAAATCCCACGCTATCAAATGTTTGGATTCCTCGATGGTAAGTGTATATGCGATTTCTCTTATATATATAAATTTTTGTTTCTTCTCAACAGAGGGTTTAACGTGACTATCAAAAGAAGTAATCTACGAGCAGGGCTTTTACCTGTACCGGGAACAGATGACGTACTTGAAGTATGTGCAAAACCTCGCAACCTGGAAAAAATAACTGCGTTTTTTTTTTCACCGTAGGACTGATCCGTTCAGCAATGATCTGTTGCCAACTGAGGTCCCAGCTTTGTTGACTGGTCTCCCTGATGAGGATATCATGAGTGATGATGAAATGTAAGTCAGATGTATCACTGGATTTTGCGTAGTACTCTACACTTCTTCTGACTTTTGTTTTTCGGACACCAAGCACATCTCACGGACTGTAGCTAAATTCCAGGCAAAAACGGATTACAGGTATTTGAGTGAAATAAATTCCTGTTATTACGGATTCTCGCAATTAAGTTAAAACGACTACCTCACGGCCCCGGTGTCTTTACATCAGGGCGGCGCCCCGCTATACATGTTAGAGTGATTTAGCAACAGAAAGGGAACGTCAATTAAAGACTGGAAAGCGCGCAGAAAAGACTGAACCCGACTTCCTGTGCTCAATTTGTCATGCAACGTCACACGACGCTCTGGAGCAGCGTTGCGTGACGAATCAAAGGACTACAAGAGTTCACATTGATAATACTAATAGCGTGTCAACACTTGAACACGTTCAGACTTGAACCATATGGGCAAAAGTGCGTTAGATGAGATCTGGTACACTTTTGTGCAACTTGACTTGAGCGTATTTCGGAAAGTATGGACAAGTAAGTACTAGTAAGTAAGTAATCGGCTTTATAACAGGGTTCCCACATTGTGGCTCTCCATCTTTTACTTTATCTATCACTTACTTAGGGACGAAGAGGGAGCTGACCCTGGTCTCAAGGAGATCCCAGTCCCCACTCCCGAAATGGTTCGAGCCCAGTTTCCCACGGCGGAAAGCATTGTGAACGAGCAAGAACAGCAAGTGACATCACAGCTGAGGTAAGCTGTTTAACTTGAAAAATCTTTTTACTTTTCAGTAACATCTTTCTCGTTTTAAACTCAGTTTAATGTTGCTGTTCGTCATTTTTGTAGTGAAATGATGCTACACACAGGTGGAACTACAAAGATGTCAGCAGCTGCGTCAGCGGCGGTAACCGCAACGTTTGTTCCAAGGTACTGCAGGCTTAAAAACTTCCCTATGTACTTAAAAGAATTCAACCTCACGTGTTCGCTGCTCAACCACCCCCCCCCCCCCCAAAAAAAAAAAAAAAAAAAAAAAAAAAAAATAACAAGAATTGTTTATTAAAAAAGGAAAAACAAATCACAGGACGAGTTTTTTTCCAGTTGGATGGCGCACCTCACCGCTGTGTAAAATAACACACCCCCCGAGAAATTGTAGGGAAGACCATTGGTTTTTTTTTCTGGGAATCAGGAAGAAGGGGGGCAGCGGAGTTGTAAACCGGCATTTCTTGGTGGTGGGCCTGTGTGTGGAGAGGACATGGCAGCAGACCGGGGCGGCGCCGAGAATGTGCCGGGGGCGGGGCGCGGGGGCGACCCCAAGCTTTTTCTGAAAAGGCTCCGCCCGGAAAAAACCCCCCTCGAAATAAAGAAAATACACAACACAAGTTGGGCCCATAAAACCCCCCCCCCCCCCCCCCCAAAAAAAAAATAAATAATAAAATAAAAATTGTAAAACGATATTTAGATAGAGTAGGAACACTAAACTGCAGGCCTCGGTTGTTTCACGTTGGATAGCGCTATCCACCGCCGGGATAAATCACTATCCATCGGATAAGTTTTAGGGAATCCAATTGCGTTATCTTTCGATGGAAATTTATCCAGTGAATAGCGTTATCCACCTTTCGAACAACTGGGATCAGGAGGCTATCGACCTTCAAACTGTCAAGTTAAACTGTATATGCGAAACGGTAATTGAATTGGTATGGTAAATTGAATGCTTTGAAGAGTGTCCAAAGGGTGTAAAGCCTGTCCTCAGATCTCACCTAAGAATTGCTCTGTTGAGGAGCAGTAGTTATTTCCAGAAATGCAGGCTACTGAGATGCATGATATTTTATGATAGCCACCACAAAGTGTCCTCGTGATTAATGGATCAACAAAACGCGAAATAGGCCTTTTCCGAGTTCCAGTTTCTTTTCTTGAACTTTGCAGTCTTTTAGAATTCAACTCAAAAAAAAACTTCCCAACATTTGACGAATTCAACGAGATGGAACATTACAAGCGCGATAAAGTTTGAGGCAGCGTGAATTTACTTTTTTAAATGACGTTTTTGAAGCCGTCGCCTTCGTTGTTGCTTAAGTTCCCTACTCTCACTTTAAAAATGAGGCCAAGTGCAAAGTTTTTCTTGTGAAAATAAGTTTCATTTGCATGAGAAGTAAAAAATCCTTTTCATATCAATGGCTTTGTACTTACCCTCGCTTTGAAACAGGGTTTGGGGCAACTTAGTCTCCCTCGCAGCCGTTTTTTGGATGTCACGCAACGCTCTCCCCGAAAGAGCATTGCGTGACATCCAAAAAACGGCTGCGAGGGAGACTAGGGGCAACTCGGAAATTGACATTTCTGTTAGATAGAGAGTAATAAGAAAATACCAAATACATCTTCCTTGAAAGTGGTAGCAGTAGTACTTTTCCGCACCTGCAGAATTCAAAATAATTTTTTTTGCTGTGTGCTAGAAAAATTCTTGCACTGTATTGCTCGTGCCGCCAGGATTGCTTTTCGAGTTGCTTTGAGAAATAAATACACATTGTTTGCGTCATCTGGTAATGATAAAACAGAGCATTCTCGACACAAACTGACCAGTAGAAAATTGTATAAAAATAGAACATGGCCACGACGCTGATTGTTTCTTTATTTTGCAGGGAAAAGCGGGAAAAAGAGCTAAATGAATTCTTGAAGCAGCGACAAAACAGACTTGGATTAAGAATCAAACAACGGATACAGTCCATCAATGATGCCATGACTTCGCCTAATCAAGAACTTAAATAAAACGCGGAAGCGCCTTTGAAATGTCTTTTCATGTTAGCACGAGGTTATTTTGGCCGATCGATGCGCGTTTGCTTGCAGCTAGCCGTAAGTGAGGTGTTTTGGCGTAGGTTTATTTGTCCTCGTTATTGTGTAAAGGGGGTTTTCTTTGCATGGACTTTAATGCAACTGTAAATATTAGGGCTGTATGTACCGTCGTTGCCTTGCTTTCTTTCAAAGGTTTTGTTGCATGGACGTTTATATGCAACTTGTAAATATTATCTTAGGGTTGTATAATTATTATTGTAAAAAGCGTACACTCGAAGACAAATTTCATTTCATTCGTGGGTTTGGTATGACAGTCACTAATTGGTCAGTGTCATTTCATAATTTATATTCGCATTATCACAGACGACGGTATATTGTACAGAAATTAAAGAAACTTAATTTCAATAGATTTCCTGTGTCCGAGTAGTAGTACCTATTAAGTGCTGAGGGAAGGTTTGAAGAGAATCAAATACCATAAATCCTCTATTAAGCCCCCCCCCCCCCACAACAAAAAAAAAAAAAAAAGAACAAACAACAAACAAACAAAAACAACAAACGAAGGGAACACAAACAAAAAACGACACAAAAAACACACCACATCAAACAACAAACACAAAGGACAAACAAAAAAAAAGAAAAACAAGAAAACAGAAAAACAACACAAAGTATAAGACAAAACGAAAACGAATAAGAGCGTAAAGTAA